AGGGAGTACTGATTTCACAGCACACTTGACTGGGAGGCTGGCTACCCAGCTCTCTCCCTACTCCCAACTGTGCATGTTGTGTGCAACTCTTCATCCCTGGCCAAGATGGGGGAGCCAAGCTGTGCTGCAAAGGGGTGCCTGCATGGAATGCACTGCAGGTAGGGGGTGTTGCCTGCACTGTGCGGGGGAGGGGAGGGACGGGACGGGGACGAGACGGGACTGGTACTTAGCAGCCCAAGTGGTGTGCAGCCCCCAGCTGCCAGACATTGAACAGTCCTGAAGTAGAACAATGGAGGAATAGATTTCAATAACAGTAAAGTCAGAAGCTTGTATGACAGTGGTGTGCAAACAGACAGTAAAAATCTTGTGTTTTTTTTATGAAAGGAAGAGAGGGAACTCTTTCAAGCATCAAGCCCCAATCTGGAGCAAGAAGAATGCATTTCAACTAAATACACTGCCCTCAAGGGTTGGAATTCAGTCTCTCTCCTACAAATAGCTCTGTTTACAACTGTTTGGTCTCCACTAGTTTCACGCTCTAGGGCTGCACTTTCATAAAGAACTGTTCTGATGCATTTTTTCCAACTGCTCTATCTTGACATATGATGGATTAAAATGACTAAATACGCAACAGCTTGGTGCCTTCCCCTCCTCTCCAACTGGTTGGTATTCCCATTATGTTTACCTTATCCTCCCATCATTAAGACTGCAGCTCACATTCAAAGATTTAAAGCAGAATGAAGCCTTGGAACACAAAGACAAACACCGTCCCTGTATTGAGTGGGAGCATAAGAATGGATGTGAGAAAGGGAGAAGATAAAGGGACCATAATTAAGGTGTGGGCTAACTCTGAAACAGGGGTAAGCAACCTCCAGCACAGGTGCCAGAGTGCAGCACTCGAAGGCATTTTGCTTGGCATCCGTACCTCTGGGTGGATGACAGGGAAGGGGCTGGGGCTACACAGCAACAGCAAGGATTGGGCCCCATCGTGGCTCCCCCACTACCTGCCCCCGGCATGCCAACATCTTATAAGTTGAAGTTGAGGGTGTTTTGGGCACTCTGCCCAAAAACGTTGCCGACCCCTGCTCTAAGACATGAAGCAGCAATGCAGAGGAAAGGTGGCTTTATAATTAGGCACTGAACTAAACACTCTGGAAGATCCATGTTCAATCTCCAGCTCTGCCTCAGGTTGATGCTGGTAAGTCAGTCTAAAACAGCAGTGGCTAATTAATTCTCTACCTGCTTCACAAGGGCCATACGACTGTGAGGATAAAATTATTTAATGCATAAAAGGTGCCTGGCTGTCAGAGGGAGAGAGGGGCAAGTATTCTGGACAGACAAACAAGGGCCAGTGCTTCATGCATCTTGCATGCAGCATCCTCATTATTACCGGATGTGGGAGCAGAGCCAATGTTATCTGCAGTAAATCCGACAGGTTACAACACAGCGGCTCTTAATCTTTTTTAGACTCAAGGCCGGCTCTCAGCCTTCAGGCACCCCCTTTAGTTGCCAGCTCTTCCTTTTCACTCGGTTTCTAGCTACAGCAAAATTACAGAGGGGTGGGTCCCTCTGGAGCAGAGCGCCCAGAGGGCGGGTGGGGGGCAGGGTGCTCGGCCGGCACGAAGGAGATCCGAGGGGCCCACTGGCAAGCAAGGCAGAAGGAGCTGATGGAATGATGACGAAGTCAGTACGCCGAGCGAAGCAAAGACGACGTTACGAGTACGCATCTGACGAAGCAAATCCCGCGCCTAAGAAAGCCGAGGCAGGGCGGGAGCGGGCCGGGCCAGACGGAGGCGGAGCAATACCGGGCCCGGGTCCCCGCCGCCCCCCGCAGCAACGTAAGCGAGACGCGGGGGGAAGGGCGGACACTTGGGCCGGGCGGAGCCACGCGCGCGCACGCTGCCACTCACCGCCTCCCGCCGCCGCCTTCGCTTCCGGGCCGGGGCGGTGCGTCACCGTGACGTACAACCCCCGCGCGCCACCCGGGAGCCGCCGGTTACGTCATCGCGCCCTCGGGTTGGGTTTTCTTTTTTTCTTTTTGCCCCTGAGCAGCCTGATTGGTGGTCGGCCCCGCTCCTCCCCCGCGTGCTTCCGCGTTGCCGAGGTAACCAGGCGGCAGCGGCGGGGCGCGGGAAGCCGCTCAACATGGAGGACGTGCACGAGGGCCCGCGGCCGCGCATCACCACCAGCCAGCTCGCGCAGCACGTGGGACAGCCGGTCTGCTTCGTGGGCCGCATGCAAAAGGTACCGGCGCTGCCCGGGGCCTTTCGGGGGTCGCACATGCTCCGCTCTTTAGGCCGAGGCCTCGCCCCTCCCCCTCCCCACTGGAGCCAGGCTGGGGGGTTGCGCCGGCTGCACACGGGGAAGTCTTGGTGTAAGGAGTGACATCGCTCCTTCACACTCCATTTTGACGTCACTTCCTCCGTCTTCCTCAGATTCACCCGAGCGGGAAAATGTTTGTCCTCTCGGACGGCGAAGGCAAGAGCGCCACCGTGGAGCTCAGCGAGCCTGTAAGTAGCTGCAAGCGACCGACCCTGCAGCGGGACTGGCTACGAGACCTGCTGGGGTTACCTGCGCCAGGGCTTGCTCTTTGGTGCCTCGCAGGGGCTGGGCAGCAGCTCTGCAGAAAAGGACCTGGGGGTTTCAGTGGACAATAAGCAGAATATGAGCCAGCAGTGTGCCCTTGCTGCTGAGAAGGCAAATGGCATACTGGGCTGCATTGGTAGGTGTTTCGCCAGTAGGTCAAGGCAAGTGATTCTTCCCCTCTATTCACCACTGGTGAGGTCACATCTGGAGTACTGTGTTCAGTTTTGGGCCCCCCACTATAGAAAGCATTTGGACAAATTGGGGAAGAGTCCAGTGGAGGGCAATGAAAATGGTGAGGGGGCTGGGGCACATGACTTCTGAGGAGAGGCTGAGGGAACTGGGCTTATTTAGTGTGGAGAAGACCAAGGGAGGCTTAGTAGCAGCCTTCAACTTCCTGAGGGGGCGGTTACAAAGAGGATGCGGCTAGACTTCTCAGTGGTGGCAGATGACAGAACAAGGAGCAACGGTCTCTGGTTGCATCAACGGAAGTTTAGGTTAGATATTAGGAAAAACCTCCTCACTAGGAGAGTAGTAAAGCACTGGAACTGGTTACCCAGAGAGGCTGTTGAATCTCCATCCTTAGAGGTTTTAAGACCTGGCCAGACAAAGCTTTGGCTGGGATGATCTAGTTAGGGATGGTCCTGCTTTGAGCAGGGGGTTGGACTAGGTGACCTCCTGAGGTCCTGTCCAACCAGTTTTCCATGATGCTGTTTGCTGATCTGCCTGCTGGAAGCAGGATAAATTTTGACTGGAAAAAAGCTTAATCCTTTCAGCAAAGAGGTGCTTTAACCCTTCATTGGTATGATCTTTCCCTTTTCTTTCCTGTGCTTGTTTTACTTTGGGCATTTAAAATATATTTCCTTACTGGCATCTTTTCTGCAGCATCTGTACCAAACTGTTTGAATTCGTACCAGATCCCTGCTTAGAACACTTTTCATACTTCCAGTAACTGTCCTAGCCAGTTAGATGAAAAAGTTCTCTAAAATAAAATACATAATTGCATTTAAACAGTTAAGACTTGCATCTTTCTCCTGGTGAATACTAGGTGCTGCAGTTAAATTTCCAACTCCTCTTCCCTTCATCAGCTGTCCATTTGGGCACTAACAAGTTCTGTCTCTCTTTCATGTTTTCTGTGATGTTTCATTTAATGCAGGGATTTTTCTGATTGGCATATTTTATACATTCCTCTATTTGTACTCCTGCAAAAAGCTATTAGTGAAAATCCTTGACTAAAAGACTTCTCATAGCCTGTGCACTCAATTGCAGTTTCTACCCTCACAAGTATAGGAACAACCCTCATAATACACCTCTAGGATACACAGTATTTTTCTGCCTCTGTACCAGCTTACAGAGAGCATTAACCAACCTTTAACAGGGTTTGGACAACCCATCCAGGCTTCTGGTCACTGCTGCTCTTTGTGCCCTTTGCTTGGGTAAGGGGTTAAATGCTGTAATGTGATGCTTCTTTTAAGATGCATCATCTTTTGTTTATTTTTAGGAAGCTAAAGCCAGTTAGAAAACTACTCATCTCATAAAACTGAGTTTGATTTTTAGACTTATTTTTCAGCAGTATTTTATTTTCATGAAGTGGAGCAAACAAGCAGTTGCAATAAACCAAGCATTCCATTTTCTCAAGTTGCAAACTGATACTGGGTATGTAAGTAGCTGAGTACAAAAGAATAAGACAACTGTGGCAGTAACATGTTTTCTGTATGTTCACCAGTTAGATGAAGAAATCTCTGGAGTCCTTGAAGTGGTGGGAAGAGTAACAAATCAGGCAACTATCATGTGTATGTCATATGTCCAGTTCAGAGAAGATAAAAGCCCTTTTGGTAAGTAAAGATATGTCTTAAGATTGAATGTTGTTTTGCATTCTAAAAGTTATTTTTAAAGAAGAGCAGAGGAAAGATCTGCTTTATCCTTTTTCCTGGCAGGGATATATACATAGAGTAGCTGTTTCCAGAAATCTGTCTCCTATAGAGTTGTTCTTGAGTTGGTGATCATAATGCAACTATATGCAATATCCTCATGGGAAATGCACCAAAACAAACAGCAAGGATTGATTTACAGCTAGTCAAAATGAATCTAAAACTGTTTAAAAAGGAAAATCCTGAAGTCCTAGAACAAGTATGGGGCTATCATGTAACCTTTAATTATGCATAATTTCTTTAGTCCTGAACAGGAAAAGGAAACAGACAAACTGTATATAGTATTATTAGAGAGAGAGCTGCAAGATTGTATTCAGTCAAATATATTCTTACACAGGTTACTGTACCACTCCCATTACTGGTACCCGAGCAGTGCACTATTCTGCATATAGAAAGATCTGTTTCTCCATTCCCTAGTTCAGTGGATTTGGTTATTGTCCTTTTGTCTGGCTTACTCACAATGGACAGCAAGTAGTTTAGCTCTTGAATTTTAAGAGACTTAGATACTCCTGACTTGAGTGCAAATCACCACAGCTCCTGTAAAGGGAAGTCTTCTATAGTTTGTTAGAATTACTTTTTATGTCTACAAAATGTTTTCTGAAGGAGAAACCAGGAGCTTGTGCATTTTTTTTCTTTTGTTTGTTTTTAAGCTTCTAGTAGTCCCTTCTCATGGAAGGCCAATCAAAAATAAGAGGCAAAACTAATGCGATTAGGAACTTGAGAGGGCAGAAATAAATGGTTGAGTTTATTGGACCTTCCCTTTCACCTTGGAAAATAACTAATACTGGTGTGTCTTCATTTGACATTTGGCTTGGGGCAGTAAGTAAATTCCTGATTTGAAGAAAGGGCTGAATACTGAGGTAGCAGAATCTGTGAATGACATAGGCCACAGACAGGTGTTTATTTCTATGGTAAGAATTTTTCAAAAATAGCCCAAAAGCTTATTTTGAGAGTGTACATGTGTTCCAGCTCCTTGGCTGGTGAGCTAAAGGCAAACTCTTTAGTCATGGGCACTAGAGGGCTGCTCCCTGGGCCACCACCATTCTCAGGGGAGCCCATTAATTGACAGCCTGCTCTCTCCCCTGCCTGGGAAGGGGGCAGGCTGTTAATTGACAATTGGCAGCTGCTACAGACAGTCCAGGGAAGGTTCCAGCGCCAGGAGACTGGTGGGACTTGGGGAGGGGTTGGGTATTCTCCCATGGTGGGAACCCTCCCCTTCCCACTGCAGGAGAAGAGCCTTTGTTCCTTGTATTCCTCTGGCTATACTCATTCTTCCAGTGCACTGGTTTTAAATGTGCCACTGGGCACATGCAGCCAGGGATGAGGGAGATCCCCCATTCCCTGCTGTATACACACATTTTAAGAGGACTCCCTCCAAGTAGGGATTCCTCCTTGAATTCCTGTGGATCACGTGCATATGTTTGTGGATCTGACTGTGCTAATCTTGACCCTTAAAAGGAACTGGCAGACTCTGGTTGAACATTACTATTGTAGACAAAGGTGAGAGAAAAATCAATAGCACCCATTTTTATAAAGCATAATTATGAGGGTTAGCAAGGGACAGAATACTTTTACAAGATATTGATTACTAGTATAACTGCAATACAGGCACTCCTCACTTAACGACCGAGTTCCGTTCCTGCGACTAGGTCGATAAGCAAATTGGTCGATAAGCAAGGAGCCGCCCCTTGATACTGCGTGCCTTGGCTTGAGACGCTGCACTGCCATTTCCACGACCAAAGTTCTCATACTTACGACCAGTTCTCGCTGGTCATAAGTCCGCGCGGTCGTTAAACAGGTAGGTCGTTAAGTGAGGAGTACCTGTATAATTACCTGTTGCTCCCCGTGAAGTAACTACTAACATGCACCTCTACCTTTTTGTGATATTTTTCTCAGCTATCAAGAGAAACTGCAGCAGGAAAGGCCTAAATATGGTGACACTTAGCTAAAAGATGGGGGGAGGCGGGGAGGGGCAGTATTCTCAAATACTGGGGTAAAGTGAACACCATATAAAATATTTGTTACATGGTGATAATGGGAAATTTGATTAGTGTCTGAACTAACATTTCCCTTCCTCTGCCTTTCAGATCTTGAGACGTACAATGAAGCACTAAAAGTAATCCAGGAATTTCCTGAATATTTCCCATTTGGTATTATAAAAGAATGATCAACTCTTTCTGGTACAACTTCAGAATGGATGACAGTGGTTTAACCTTGCCATTTTAGGAAGGCCTAACTTTTTTGCAGTTGAGATGCTTAAGAGATGCCTGCTAAAATGTTTTGGCTGATTCGTCTGTCTGACATCAACATACTGACTTTCGGTGTCATACTTGCCTTTTTCTGATCTATCCTAAATTCAGTCTGTGTAGTTTTGTTGAAAGCAATTTTTTACCGAATTTTGTATATGCTTTATTAAGATCATATCCAGAGAAATGCTGTAGCAAGTTAATTTAGTTTCTGGTTAAAATCGTTTCTACATGCTTGTCCCCTGCCTGTCTCCTTATTCAGCATTTCCCATTGTTAGATATTTAGTTACCAGAAAGTTTATGAAAATTAAGCCATTCTGTGAGAGGGGTATAAAAGTATTGTTTAAAACTAGCATTGTGCCTGAATATGAACTTTTGAACTACCTGGCAGTAAAACTTGATCTTCTGTCTTGGAAACCAGTTACTTTTCCAATAAAGTGTCAGGCTACATTTGAACTAAGTGTTATGATCGTTTTTAAAATTGATAAATCTTTTCTTGGAGAGCTGTTTTTGTTAATAAATCACGTTCCGAGTTCTACCACTACCTGATGTGAGTAATTTTAATTCCAACACCAACCAGGGCATAAGATGTCCAAACTCTCACACTGATGTTAAACACAGTTGAAAATTTCTTTTGATAATTTTTGGTATTTTTAAGCAGTCTTGTGTGGCCGTGACAAAAAAAACAACCTGTATTTTTGTTGACTATTTAGGTAAAGGCACAAAGGATTGAATAGACATGAGAGTGAACTAATTTAATTGCTAGAGATGGTTCCAAGAGTAGTACACAATAGAAATCCAAGCTTCCCTACCGGTGCTGTCTAAATTTTCAGGATTCTTTTAAGCCTCTTAAGTCAGGACATTTCAGGAACAAATTCACAAAAGGAAAATCTGACTGCATTCTGTTAATTTATGCATGGGTACCAGATTTAAATTAAATGTTGTCACTGTAGATGTTGAATGTACTCTCATCCATCATCTTTCACAAACTGTAGTTTTAATACTGTCTAGAATACCAGATTTTATTGTTACTTGTCACTTGCAAAAAGCTGTATTTAAAGCATTTGCAATATCTTTCTCTAGGTAAATAAAAGCTCCTTTCTAGTTTAAAAATATTTTGCACTTTCCTGCTGCATTTTCTTTTCACAAAACAAAACAAAATACACATTTTACTAATCATTCTGACCTGAATGTTACTTGGTTTAGGTTTTGTTACTTATCATTTAAATAATGGTAGGAAATATTAACTGCAGTTAATGTATATGTCTAAGGGCCCTGGTGGATGTGCAGTTAAAGGCATGCTTGGATTTGATATGCAATCCCCACAATCACTTTCTGCCATGCCACACGTACATAGCAGGAGGCATAATTGTGGGATCAATCATCAGATCCCATCCTGCCATATTACTGGTACCAGCAAGTAGCAAACTCCTGTCACTGGAAGCTCTGTCAGCTGGTCCAGGCTTCCAGCCACAGAGGCGCACCATACACTCCCGAGGCTGGGAGCCATCAGCTGACGTGGGCTCCCAGCCACAGTGGCACACCATCCAAGCAAGAGCCCAGATCAGCTAATGAAGCTCCCAGCTACAGGAGCACATTATGCACTCCCATGGCTGGGAGCCCCAGTCTGGCCACACATTCAGTTAATGGTGTGATAGGAACCAGACACAAAATTACACGTATTTTGCGTAATAACTTTGTGGCTTATTGTTTTAGCATACCATTAACATGTGGCTGGGTAACTACTTAAGACACAATTAACTAGTTAATCGTGTCTTAAGTGTAATGTGTGCTAGGGCTGCAAGTGAACTTTGTAATAAAATGCTTTGTTTGCTGAGAGATTTATAATTTTTTCCCTCTAGTTGCTAGCAAACAATGGCAGGGGTTAAAACAGAACACTAATCTAGCAATCACTCCTTTTTGAAGAGGACTGAATGTTTCAGGGTTTTGGTAATGATGCAACCTTTCATCATTAAATTGCTCATTTTGAATCAAACCTAGGTTAGACCAACCTTCTCTCTCACTTGTCCTTTGTCCTTCATGAAAGCATTAGTCTTAACCTAGCTTTTGGTAGGGGGAGGTTTGAATTTAGAAACACATTGCAATGGATTAATCTGTACCTTTGTTAACTTCTGAGAAGATATAAAATAGGCTTGAAGACTCGTGTGCTCTCTCACCTCTACAAGTTAAGGGAGAGAATTAAAATTCCTTCCAGACTTTTGTAAGAAGCCTATGCCCTGAATAATCTTTTTTTTTTTTTTTTTTGGTGCTTCACTATATTTATCTTTAGGGACCTTCTTAAATCACAGTGGAAGTTGGTGATGCCTTTTATCTTGCTCTTTTCACAGTGCGCTCCCCTCCCTGCTCTGCACTGCCCTCCCTCCCCCCCCCAGTGGTCAAGATGTAATTAATGCTGTGGTTTTTGCCTCTTAGCCAGTCAGCAGCCAGAGGGGACACAGCAAAAAGAGCAGGTTTAAAGGCACTGCTGTGCCACAAACTTCCATTGCAAATTAGGTAGGTTATCTAAATGGCAGCAACTACATCCCTGCTTCTATAGAGCTAATCTAACAAGCCACATTGAAACAAAAATAATCCCCAATTCCCCCTCCAGTTCATACCCCATATTTATGCCAAAGAGAGGAAAATCAACTTGTTTTTGGTTTCCTGGGACCTGGAAAACAAGTTTGAACCAGTTTTTTCATGCTCCTAGAAGGTGTCCATTAAGCAAAACTTGTGTCATTGTGACCCAAAAGGGGAGTTTTCATCACCCTATTTTCTTTTCATTTTATTATCTTTTCTAACAAAGCTATTTGTTTTTACAATTTACCTAAGAAACTTAAGCCAATTATAGCACAAACTGTATTTGATACACCTAGTTACATTAGTCCCTACTGCTGATATATTCCTGCTAAACCTAGTGTGCTGTTTGGGATATTTATTTCAGGGCTTTCTTGTAGGCTGTCTTGTTCTAGATGTTTAATATACATTTCAAATTCCAGTGCTTGTTTTGCCTGTTAATTACATTGCACCTTTTGCTAAACATACCAGTTGTAGCATCTGGCAAGGTCATGCAAAAACAGTTTTGGGGGCCTTTGCTGTAGCCACATTCCTGTATGTGTGCGTTTAACAATGGACCTACTGAAATCGTGGCTTTCGCAAAAACCACTATTTCAAGGAGGCCCCATGAAATGGTGTGGGGTCTGCACTTTTGGTATGCTCCCTGAAGAAAAAAAAAATCACTGAAAATAAAAAACTGGCTCCCTCTGGGGAGCCAGCAGTCCTTGTGGCTCTTGCAGCCTGGCCACACAGCCTGCTGGGTAGGGAAGGAAGGTGTGGGGCATGCAGGCACAGCAAGATGACTGCCTCCCCACCACTGACCAGACAGCCCTCACAGCCAATTAGCAGTGAGGGGTCAGGACACTGAGGCCCTTGGCCAGTCAGAAGTGTGGAGGGGGCCTACTGTGCTCCACCCGGAAAAGTGGCTACCAGTCCTGAGGTCTGCCTACAAAATAAGCCACAGTTGTCTCAAATTTGGTAGCCCCCTACCTATAACAGCTACAGAAACTAAAATGATTGTTTAACTGCACATAAATCAATTTTTACCAATTTAAAAATATTTATGAATATTGTTATTTCTTTGCCCTCTGCTCTAAACAACTACTCTTACAAACATACTTTTTTTGTTTTGTTTTAGATACCTATTTAATGTCAAGGCCATGAAGAGGCAGTACATGTTACAGGGGTTGATTTGGTTTTTTTGGTTTATTTTGTTTTGAAGGACATGTCAATGCCTTTATTAAAATGCTAGTCACTGGTTCTAGTTCACGCTTATTCTGGCAGAATCAATTTTAGCATTGATACCAAGGTCTTCAACATGATCAACTGCAACCTCTATCAGTGGGTACAAAAAAGGGGTATGAATGATTAATAAACTGCCTGTCATGTATCACTTAGATGTCACTGGATTCAGTTTTTGATTGGATGCTGCAGGCAAGTCTGATGTATATCTAGAGAATTTTAAATTTCTTTGAAGAAAAAAATGTAACACATTTCTTGCAATTTAACCAGCATGTAGTTTTTGCCTGGTGTTGCCAACTCTACTTTTATTTTCCTAGTTCATTGCTTGAGGTAAGATTATTGAAACACACTTCAAAAGTTTAAGATAGATTTAGTAAAAATATCACTTTCAATTACATATATTTATAATGGAGGTACCAGTCTGGGTTTACAGGTAAGGCTGAGTCGAGATTTTGCACTAACAACCAAAGATTTTGTCCTCCTAGTGAAAATCACAATCATTTTCCCCCAAATTCAATTAGGTAGAAGATATGCACAGGGGTGCTTAACTCAGCCAAGATGGCAGTGCCTCTGGATATGGGAACTCTCCAGTGAGGAATTCTCCTTTTAGTGAAAAACACAAAAAGCTTACATGAAGTGGAAATGTAGACAAACGACTAGGGGAGAGTATAAGAATATTGCTTGGGCATGTGGGCATGAAATCGGGAAGGCCAAAGCCCAATTGGAATTGCAGCTAGCAAAGGATGTGAAGGGAACAAGAAGGGTTTCTACAAGTATGTCAGCAACAAGAGGAAGATGAGGGAAAGTGTGGGTTCCTTACTAAATGGGGGAAGCAACCTAGTGACAGAGGATGCAGAAAAGGCTGAAGTACTCAATGCCTTTTTCACCTCAATCTTCACAGGCAAGGTCAGCTCCCAGATTAACTAGCAGCACAGTTTGGGGAAGAGGTGAACAGTCAAGTGGCAACAGAACAGGTTAGGGACTATTTAGAAAAACTGAACATATACAAATCCATGGGGCTGGATGGGATGCACCTGAAGGTGTTGAAGGAGTTGGCTGACATGCTTGTAGAGCCGCTGGCCATCATTTTTTAAACTTGTGATTAGGAGAGGTCCTGGACAGTAGGAAAAGGGCAAATTAGTGCTCAT